AATGTATTACTTGGCTTTAATTTGAGTATGTTTTTCGCGTTGGAACGAATTATTTGGTTTTACATGTAATCGTATGGGAAAAGATGATCCACCTTACGACATTTTCATGATACGATCTCAGTTTCGGAACGGATTAATTTCGTATCCTGAGGTACCACTGTAATTATTTTTAATTTATTTATATTAATTATACATAATGAAGACAAAATCTTAAAACTTCTGTACATAAATTTATTTTGTGTGTAATATATTAGTAACGATATTAAATTTTAGCTATAGGCTTAAATATATGTAATTTTTTAATTGTTACAAACAATGCTAAAAATTATTAAAAGTTTCAGAAAATAGTTATTTATATAAATTAACTGAGAATAACTGTGTAATTTTTCCTGTACTTTTTTTTGTAGTTAAAAAAAATATTTAAAATTTTAGGAATAAATATACAATGTTTTTTTACAATTATGGCTTTAATACCAGAAACAAGATCTATCAAAAATCTACATTCTGTGTTGAAGAAGTTATTGGAATTGTCATAGCAATAATTTTTACTTTTCCAATCTTAAACATTGGTCATAAATAATAATCAAACATGTAAAAGTAAGGTAAATTGAAATCCAAGCCCTTATGGTGATCATATTTTGTAGCCATGAAAAGCTGAAAAACTAGCAATAAAAATTTCAAAAGTAGCATATTCAAAAATCATTTTACAGTTAGCACATAATAAAAAGTACTGAAAGAGAATGAACAATTAAACAAACCTCTAATTTCTTTACTGTTTTAATTTACTACTCTATTCATTGTACTTTTAATATAATACAGTTAATACTATATATAGTATTATTTATTTGGCCTAATGGCTGAGGTGCAATTGACAACTTGCTATTTTGGGAGACCTGGGATTGAATCTGGGCATTTACTAGTAATTGAGTTGTGTAAATGTTATTAAAACCAATGGGATCAGTGGTAATATTAACACCCTTAAAATTAAAAATTTTTTAGTTAAAAAACAAGTAAAAATTATACTCTTTCTATTTCTGACTTCGAGGATTCTATGAGCCAAAACAAGACAAACAAGTAGCAAGGAACGATCATTATTTTATTAATTTTATCCATGAAGAATTTAAACACAAATGTTTGTTAAAATTACACCCTAGGTATGAAAATATGAATTAGACTATCTGAATAAGAATGCTGCATTAAAACTAAAGTTTTGTTTTTCTTCTTAACTGTGAGCAGAAATGAAAGAAGAGATTGGTTCAATGTTGACAGCACTGAGATGTGTCAATCTGGAAATATTGAACTTTTCTCAGAACAGGCCCTCATTATTTGAAACCTACACTGATTCAAACTACATACTGTATATTGAGGATTGCTTGTACATAAATATGGGAAATTAAACTGCTGATGGAAAGTTGAATTGAATTATATTAAGTCTTAAAAAGTTTGACAATATTGTTCTCACTACAAAATAGCCTACATCATTTAATTTTAAACTGTTTGAACATTTAAATTATGCAGATTTTTATTTTTAAGCAGATTATTCATCACTGAACTTGGAGAATATGTTACTTATAAACAAAAAAAGAATGAGTGAGAGATTGTAAATAAAATATGAAATGTAATTTTTATTCCAAATAAATAATAAAGATGGCTTTTGATAACAAAACTTAGAAAAGGAAAATAAACATATGTAAAAATTATAAAGGATTTGAACGTACAGAACAATCATCAGTTTAAGTTTGAATAAGACGTTAAGAATTTCAATTTGAACAGACACAAACTGCTTTCTTTAAGGATGAAATCTCATAAATCAAACTTATTGAATTTAGTATATTTTCTGTTGATATTTGTTAATTAGAATTTTATGTATCTTTAATGTTTAATAAAAATTGTGTTTAGAGAAATATAATTTTACTATCTTGAAATGCCAAATGAGAATTATCATGAGTTTGAGAAATATTTCCATACTTGATGAATATTTTTATTTAAGTTAGTGAAAGCTTAATTCATATGAAATGGATACTGAATTTATGTTGTGGATTGTGGATAATTATGATGTAAACAAAACAGTGATTTTTGTAGAAAGGAATTAACTAGTTGCAAAAATATTTTAGTATATTTATGTCAAGTCATTTTATTTTAATTTCAGGAATGTTTGATCGTAGGAACAGTGGAACAGTCAATTTTGAAGAGTTTGCAGCGCTTTGGCGATATATTACTGATTGGTTAAATTGCTTCAGAAGTTTTGACAGAGATAATTCAGGAAATATTGATGAAAAAGAACTCCAAACTGCTCTTACAAATTTTGGTGGGTCTTTATAAATTTATCAGGTTCACTAAATACAGTATAAATTTTAAATGTACAGTGGTACCTCAGGTTACGAACGCCCCAGCATACGAAATTTTCAGGATACGACATGAAATTCGAACATATTTTTGCTCCACGATACGAACAAAAACGCACCATACGACGTTACATTAGTTCGCATTTTTCATTTGTTTTTCTTACTACAGTTATTTTTTT